ACAGCTAAATGGGATGGTTCTGGACCCGGGTTGATTTGTTTTGGCCGGTGCAGCCCGTGTGACTTGGCCGTCGACGCCAGACCAGGGAGCGGATCATGGGCTTTTGGACAAGGGACTGTCATTAGCAGGAGGAGATGGAGTCACATTCAGGGAAATCATGAAGTCCCTTGTGTCTCATCTGGGATTAAAAATGAAGAGTGAAGAACGATATATATTTAACTTTTTTTGACACTGATTAAATGCCGATTGAAAAATAGACGTTCCGTGTCCTAAAATTTTAGGTCACAGAGAAAAGTTAGCAAAGTGGCTGTTCGCCTCGCGCCCCCGCCGCCGGAGCGGTGGACGAGGCAGACCCCGCTCGCCGGGCTCGGCTCTGTGTCCCTCGCGCGGGGCGGTTTCAGACACGTCGCCCTGTCTTTGCCCTGAGTCAAATCTCTCCCCTTTGTCTCTCCACTTCTATCTTCATAAAGAACCGCACAACCCACACTCCCAGTGAACAAAGCTATTCTTTAATGGGACCATTCCACTGCGAAACCGAGTTATTTTAATTGGCTTAAAATAATATTAAATGCCGAGAGCCAAGGACACGACCTCTGGCCCTGCTGGTTCTAACATATCATGCTCTTCATACTTTCCGGTGAGAGGCTCTGGCCCGTCTCTGAAGAAGGGCCAAGTGTAAATAAATCCATAGCGTTGAGATCAGGGCTTTGCCAATGTATATCGTGCCTCGTATAAGCCCCTGTTATATAACTTCCTTCTTGGGGTTTTACAGAGCTTGTGTTTGTTGACATTCGGGGTGTGTCTAGAAAGTGTGCTTTTGATGTGCCCGGCTCACCTAGGCAGCGTGCCCCGGACACGAGGGGGTCTGGCTTATGCTTCGTGGTTTGTTTTTCTGTGGTCGTATATTTCCTACATTCTGTTCATGTGCCCTTGGACTTCTTAGGAAGAGCTTGACAGCTCATTTTTATAAATCAATAAATAAGTAAGGAATACATCGAGGATCAAAGGCCACGGCAGCAGCGCCGTGGGGAGATTCATATTGTCCTGGGCACGTATGACTCATAATGATGCTATCCTTGGACCCGGGGCCCAGCACATTTGTCATTGGAACTATTAGGTTCCGCACAAGGTCAGCAGGCGCGAGCGCTCCGGGGGACATGATGAAAATGCAGCAGGCCCCGCGGCCGCCTCCGAGGCCGCGCGCTCGGGGCTTCCTCCTCCGCCTGACTTGTATCTGCATTTCAGAGCTCCCTTGTTTGACTTCCAAAAGCTGCTCTGTTGATACCTCCTCAACCCAGAGGCCTGACCGCGGGAGCATGACCCTCAGAGTTCCAGAATCTGCAATGAGCCCCCGGAGCCAGGTCCAGCTGAGCCATTCCATCCGGGAGCACGCACGCCGATCCTTCCGCACGCTCCAGGTCAAACCCTAAGACATCCCTTCCAAGAGGGGACTTCACTTCTTGTAAAGCCCACCTCTCCTTTGGGAAGACAGGAGGGAGCCGGCGGGGGTGCGCCTGAGGAGCTGGATCTAGAATGTTCCCCCTGCGCAGTGCACATGCACCCGCCCTGGGTAGCACGGTCCGGGCACAGAGGACTCACATGTGATTTGTGGAATCCATGAATGAATCAACATGATTTTTAGGAGCAGGTAGAAGAACCAATAATTTAGCAGGTAGTCTTAAATCTCTAACCGGCACCTACGTTACATTTCAAAGCAACGAAGGGATACTTTATGAATAAAGGAAATAAAATAGAGGGAGGTGGGGAAAAGGGAGAGTCCGAGGGCAGAGAGGAAGCAAGATTGTAGAGCTCTGTTCCGATCACATCATTGAGCATTTTGGTGTGCTGGTGTGTTTAGTTTTGTCTGTTAAATTGTCTTGTTTTGGCTTTTTCTTCCTCTTTTGTGGTAAATAGGACTGGACAGGCCGAAGTGAAATTGTGTCATTGAAATTTGTTCTGAAAGCATTTTCACCACCTTCCCTTCCATCACATTATTCCCAAGTAATCAGAAGAACAATGTTGATAGCAATAGAAGTAGCTCACTGGTCTTGAACCCTTACTCTAGCCAGGCGGAGCCTGAGGGGCTCTGTGCCCGCCGGCGCTGAATCCTCAGGACTGTGGAGTGGACCTGTGTTCTCTCTCCTCCCACACGTGGGCCCCTGGGAGGTGAAAGGAGTTATGATCGCACAACACACATGTTACAGACGTGAGCCGACGCAGCCTCCCTCACCCCCCTTCTGGGCGCCCGTCCGAAGGCGGCCCTCCCGTCCCGGGCTCCTGCTGGCTGGGAAGCCTCAGGGGCCTGCAGCGTAGCTGTGTGTGTGTGTGTGTGGGGGGGGGGGGGGTCCCGAATCTCACCTCCTTCACCATCCCACAGATGTTGGGACGTTCAGGCAGTTGGCAGGTCCTGGGCAGGGCCCGGCCGGCCCGGGCAGTGTTCCGTGCCCTGCACGCCCCACAGAAGAAGCAGGCGCTCTGGGAAGACGAGCCGAGAGGCACGGTGCACGTTCCTGCATTACGTGCATGTCACTCCCATCAGGCTCATTCACATGCCTGTGCTCACTTCCCGTCATCCATGGGCGCCCAGGGGAGTTCTGGCCTGTGTCCTGTGGGGACTCCTTGGACCCTGGGAAGGAGACCCTGTTCCTGTGTGTGAGGGGCATCTGTGCTGGGCAGCAGGTGCACAGGCTTCTTCGTGGGTGGGTGGGGCTCCGTCGCTCAAAGTGCTTGCTCTGCTGGTATTATTGGTTATGCGCGTGATGGAGAGAAAGAGAAATTAGAGAGTGATGGAAGAAGGGGGCTCACCTACCCACCTACCTGTCTGTTGAGAGAAGAGCAGCTCCGGGTTTAACTTGGAATTGAGTTTGCATCTGTGAGAGCCACTGGAAGTAAACATTTCCATCTTGAATTAACTGAGTTCACCGCTCACTATATGCATCGTCCAATCGTGACGGCCAGGCCGGAAACCACGAATGGGGTCGGGACAGCGGTCTTCAGGAGGCCTCGGCCTGGGCGCACCTGCGGGTGGCGCAGCGCCTCCTCGCGGACACTCAGCCAGGGCCCCCGCTTGGACCTGCTGTCATTCTGTGCTTCAGGGATGGACCCTTTGCCACCTGGGAGGGAGCCTTCTACTTGGAGGTCCTCGCCGGGTGCAGGGGTTTGCCTTCCCAGAAGCAGAGCCTGCGGCGGGTCCCAGCCACTGTGTCTTAGAGGACGTGTCCCTGCGAAACCCAGTGGCCTGGGAAGCAGGTGCCAAGGGGAGGAAGCCACGCCAAGACCATCTCCGCCGAATGGCCACAGCCTTTCCTGCAGGGGCGCTGGTTGTTAACGATGCCCCAACATCGTCATGCACGCGGCCAGGGCGCTGCCTGCCCTGTCCCCTGGGAAGGGCCACCTCGTCTCCCCTCTCCCTTTCTGCCCGGGCCCCGACCTCTGACTCCCCCAGGCACGCAGGCCAGGGACTCGGGAGGCCTGGGGGCGGCTCCCCTCCGAGGGTGGCGGCCGTGGGAGGTCAGGCACCCCCAGGGGAAGGTGCGCCCACGTGGGGGGAGGGCTCCGAGGAGACCTGGGTGGAGCGCCATCTGCTCCATTCCCAGACCTGAACGCGGCTGGGTTGTGCCGTCATAACTGACTGTCCACATTACATTTACACG